CCTAAATAAACTATATTTATAAATAACACCACGAGTCTCCTATAGCACAAATTTCATAGCATAAAATTTCAAAAAATAATGTTAAATTTGAAATAATTCGTAAAATTATTTCCTACTAAATAAACTATATTTATAAATAATACGAGTCTCCTATAGCACAAATTTCATAGCATGAAATAATTGATAAAATGATTTCCCATTGAACAAACTATATTTATAAATATCACGAATCTCCTATATCATAAATTAGCAAAATAAGAAAAAAACCACTTGTCTACTCAATTAGCTTCGATTATACATTCCCTTTCTCACTTCTGACGTAATTTCCTTACGTGCAAAGCGTTTTGCGATATCGCGGCGTGTTCGTGTGTACACATTTGTCAATTGCTTCCGCGTATTCCGAACGGCGGCACCTAAATCGCGTCTTTCACGTTAATCGAAGATTAACGATCGAAATGTGAAAGACGGTTTGCCGGCACACCGATATCAGACGACAATTACATCCGAATGATATAATATATTGTCCATTCTTATCCGAGATCGTCGGAGTTTATGTAACCGCGAGTTTACTTCCGCTAAATGGCAAACTTTTCGTATAAATTCTCGGCTTATCATCGAATGATCTTGCCCAAGGTAAGAATGCTTTGCATTAAGATGCAGATTTCACGGTTTAATGGTTTGCCTAACGACGCGGCCTCAGGCAGACGATTATATTCCTCCCGAGCCATCTATATGTATAAATAACTGTATCTGTGTATTCGTCGTCCATCTTTTCATCGGTTGGAACAATAAGTTTGCCAGAGAACAATTTTCTTTGGTCTTTCCTTGAGTTCGTCGAATATGTTACTCGAACTCGAATCAGTGAAATTTATTAATGAAATTGTAACTAGTAAATAGGAAAGAAATATTTTTATAGAAACATAATAGAAGATTAATCCTTTGCAGAGGGCTTCGTTGCAGAGCCATTTAAAATTTGTCATTACAAGTAAAATTTTGTCATTAAATATATTATAACATTTATATCGTTAATCGATGGAGTAAGATACATCTATGACTTTTCTTTTCATGCGCGTATTATTTATATGTTAACACGCTTTTTCTATTAAAATTCGAGTTCCTGGTAATGTCAGTGAGAAAAAGTTTCGAGAGCAAAGGGTTAAAAGGATGACAGATGTTTTTCGAAGAGATTATTCAAGAAATTGATTTAGTAACACGTCTACTGAATTATCAATCAAATTAATGTCTCGATGAATGCACTCTTGAAGTTGCTATAGAGGAATTTCAAAAAGTGAATTTAACTGCTCGGTAGGTTTAGTGTTAATTGTTTGGAATCTATCAGCAACTGCAACTAATTTTTGTAGTATTCCCAGCGAAAATTAGAAATGCTACATTTCTTCGATCTTTTATTTTCCTTCTCAATGCAAAATTTGGATGTGCGGAGAATCTAATAATTTTAGGGTAGTTTCTTTAACACTAAAACTACCGAATGGGTCAAAATGACTGATTCCTAGATTCTTCTTCTGCAACTATTGAGAAGGAACAGATGATTCTTAGGGGAATGAGTAATGAAATTGGTTTAAAAATACGCAGACTAAATTATAAATCGATTGAAATCTCAACAGAGACAATATTGGAGTTTCTATAGGAAAATTAGAAAATCTGATTGAATTACTGGGTAGTTCTAGTGTTAAGATTCATTAAAATATTTAATATTGTAACTGCTACAATATTGAAGCCTACAGAGTGCAAACAGTTAAATAATATACTTCCTTTTTTTGTATGCAATAAAATGATTGTAGTAGGTGAAGTATTATATTAGTATAACGTATGTAATTATATGAAATTGTATTGTACGAGAATTTTATATTAAATGTAAAATGAAGATTAATATTATGTAATTGAATGAAGAAAAAACGATAATAATGTTTGCGACCCGAAATTGAAAAAATCGAGATGACACGATGCAAACGATGCGACTTGCAATGGTAATGATCGCCATCAAGTGATTTTCTTGAACAGTGTTACGTGTAACAGGGTTCCGTAGTTTATAATTCGTCATCATCATTAAGACTGAGATAATGACTCTGCGTAGTACATATTCCATTTATTACGTTGGTGTCATTAAATAAGATAAAAGTTTTTTAAGACAACGGTAATTGCGGTTCATAATAATTAATGTGGCACCTTGCTGACAGGAATTCTTTGGTGTACACATTTTTAGATCGATTTTAATGGCGATTCGCAATTAGAATCGCTTGTTACGATGAAATACACGTCGAGACAGAAAATATATGAAAATTATGAAAGGGAAGAAAGAATTCTAAATGAGATGAGCTTATAAAGTAAAAGAAATATCATTATACAAAAATTTGATTAAACTACTGTATTTCGTTAAATTTTTGTTTAATGGTACTTCTTAACTAAACTACTACGTTCAGTTAAATTTTCAGTAATTCTTCAAATTGATGAATTCCCTGTACTTAATGTTAAAACAAACATTCTCGCGGCTGGAACAATTATATCGGTCAAAAGTGTAGTTCGCTAACAATGTTAGTCAATAATATCGCGTGCCCAAGGCTGTAAAATGAACGAAGTGTACGAATAACGATCAATCTTTATTTCTGGAAACAGCACAGAATGACAGGAAGCAGATCGTTGTATTATACGAGTCATTTTTTGAAAATGGTGCTGTCCATTCTTTCAAACAATGAGATATTTAAGGATCTACGTTTGAACTAAAAATATTAGCGAACATTAATCGACTCGACTAATGTTCATCAAACCATAAACTAATCCAATTTCATTATGCAATAACAATTGAATCCAGAAGCCAATGTGGCTAAGTCGATTTTTCGATATTTTCTGATTTTTATACATTTTAATGCAATAAATAACATTTCTTTTAGTTATTCAAGGATTTACTCGTTTCTTCGTTTGTCCTAGATTAGATCTCTTCTTTTTATACCTTCCGAATATGTCCTATAATAATTATACACTAAAAATTAATTCTCTCATACTTTCCTTCCTAAACTCAATTGCATCAATAAATAAAATTCTCCAATAAAACAGACGATCTTTTAGCTATAAATAAACATACTCCACATTCAAAGAAAACATTCTTCAACATTTCACAGTTAAGCTTTGATTAATTTATAATATCGTACGTCATTGATCACGTGATGATAAATACAAAACAAGAATGTATATCTCACTGAAATTATCAACTCATTTCTCCCAAAAACGGACTGATACCACAAAAAACGGCCATTTCATCATTACCATGTTACGTTCATTTAAAGTAAATTTTTCATAAATCAAACAGTTCACTGAGTACGCAGCGAAAAAGTAAAAAGAGAATACATATCTCACTGAAACTATCAACTCATTTATCCCAAAAAATGGACTGACACCACAAAAAACGGTCATTTCATCGTCATCACCATGTTACGCTCATTTAAAGTAAATTTTTCATAAAACAAACAGTTCACCGAGTACGCAGCGAAAAAGTAAAAAGAGAATACATATCTCACTGAAACTATCAACTCGTTTCTCCCAAAAAACGGCCATTTCATCGTCATTACCATTTTACGTTCATTTACAGTAAATTTTTCCTAAAATTTCACGAACTACGTAGCGGGACGTTCAATGATTCACGCGTGATCGTAGTCATAGAGGAAAAAGGAAGCACTACGATAGATTTTTCACTGAGATTCCGTCACGAGCTACGTCAGTAGTCTAGAAAACCGTACCGAAGATTTCCCTCTTGCGGTGCGTAAAGACGATGATGAAAGTCCGCGGGTCTGGGAACGGGAACTCCCGTTTCGTACATCGCAGGGGAGTTTAACGACACCGAAATTAATGAATGAGAAACGATTCCACGGAAGGACGAGCTCGCCTGACGTGTTGCAGTCCTTTAAAATCATTTGCCGATAGGCGCCATCAACAGTGTTCCATTTGGGCCGGCGAACGAAGCTTCAGTATCGTTCGTTTGCATTGTAAACATCGAATCGACTCCGTTCGTTTCACTCTTTCGAACGTAAGGGTGTTGTATATCGTATTTTAAAGTTGCTAGATGGGACAGCGAATCGGGAGATTGAAATAGTGAAATTAACCCTTTGCGGAAGTTTTTCACCGGAGATACTCAGTGTCTTCTAATTAGACGCTGATGACATTTCTTGAGATTGACTTGGGAAATCGCACATACGTTGAGGAAGAGAACTATTTTCTTTTGATATTTCATGTATTGATGGGTTATTGTTTATCGTTATTTAATATTAAATATCAAACTCTGCGATTGGCGACTGATAAGGGCCTATGAAGTGTAAAGGATATTGTGTAATATTATTGATATCGCTTTTTGTAGGTTTTTTGAATATCTTTCAAATATTTTCAATTTCTTGCCTTTCGTTTCGTTTGGTGTTGTTCTATTTATTGTATTACTAAAATACAACGTAATATAAAGGATGTGCGATTGTGTTAGATAATTTCGATTTGAACATTTCAAAATTGCAGTCTGAAAAACATTGACCTGTTACGCATTGTATGCAGCTATTAATATGTAACGCGGTGTTCAGTTGTCCGGAATTGTAAATTTCTACTACACAGTGTAGAAAGAATTTATGACTTCAGATAGTTTTGTTGGTCGTGCGAAACGTCGTGGCACAATCATTGTAACACAGTATAGAAACAATATTTAGAACTGAATTATTCGTGACACTTTTCTGTTAAGCGTTTTTAGTGTAATTCACTTTCATGTTTAGTGGCATTTCATTTGAGTAGAACTGAATTTCACTTTGATTTACGCAAAGAATCTTACAATATTTTTAATAATAACAGTTTTAATAATAAAGTTATACAAGGATCAATTACGAGAAGTACACACAGCGCAACGCATTGTTACGAACTAAAATGTCAATTTCATTCGATTTAAAGTATAATAAAGAATCGCGTCCATTTTTGCACAGACTTTTACTATATTTATGAAAAACTTTTGCTTTCAGAACAAATACGCGCAATATGGCCCGGAGTGGTTATAAAACCTGCTCGTCAATGTATACAATTATTGGTCTGGCGGTAGTCATTTGTGTCGCGGCTGTTCAGGCAGAACTTCGGCAAGTGAACGTGGTAAGGAACATGATTATTTGTCTCACTGATTTCTCGTATATACAAGTGTAATCCTTACAATTCCAAATAATTTCCCATTTTTTCAAATTTTCGTTATGAACAATTTAGAATCTTCTGTTAATACGATGTGTCTGTGATTGTATTATCAAGTTTATTTAATTGTATGTCGAATTAGTTTAATAGTGTCCTATAATTAATAGTAATATATCAGAATATCTCGAAGAATCTTTTATATTTGAAACTGTTGGATCGTTTATTTATAATTTATAAATACAACGAAATCTAGTGCTTCGCAATCGAAGTTTGGAATTACTTTTTGGAGTACTTTAATATTTGTTAGTGAAAAATGAATATTCTGTGATGATTTTACATTTTCGTATACAGAATCGTTAATGAGTAAAACGAAATTGATTGTTTACAGAGTGTAAAGTATTTGTTATGCTTACCGTTTGTAATTACGCAGGTGTTTAGACATGGCGACAGAACACCCGACGACAACAGTAACGAAGCGTATCCGAATGATCCATACTACAATTACGACTTCTTTCCTGAGGGTCGAGGGCAATTGATTAACGTAAGTCATTCTATCGTTTAAATAGTTTATGTCATTGTATTATACTATCCTATCACACACGAGTGTCTATTGCTCGAAGAGACATAGAACATAGTACAATTTTTCATACAATTACACACTGTACTCACAATGACATAAACGTATTAATTACTCTACATTTTAGACAGTGTATCTTAATTTATTTGACCATTATCAACTGTGCTATTTAAATTCTTCACACGTTCCAGTATATTTCAATTTTATCATCAATACTATGAAATATTTTCTATCGAAGTATATTCCTATTAACCTTCATTTTGTCTTAGATACAAAAATTCAGAAAATTAATGTTTTTTAATACATTTATGAGAATCTTTGGTTCATTAATTTCACCAGAAAAGTATATAAAGTCTCTTTTCAACAATGGAATATTATTTATTCCATCAAAATTGAGAAAAATCAGGAAATATCGAAAAAACGGTTTAACCGTATTGGCTTCTGAGCGACTTATTGTTCTCGTATTTTTTAAATATACAAACGAATAAATACATATATACAATATAACATATTTTTCTTCGAAATAATAGTGTTGATTTGTTTCGAAACAAAATATATGCATAAAGAGTCGCTGATAGGTGTTGTACATTTCAGAATGGCAAACAACGAGAATACCGATTGGGAAGAGTCCTTCATAACAGATACTCAAAGTTTCTGGGAAGTTATTACACGCCGAACACTGTCTTTGGCATCAGCTCAGATTATGACAGAACTAAAATGTCTTTGCAACTAGTTCTTGCATCGCTTTTCCCGCCGAACAGGGAGCAAAAATGGAACCCGCAATTGAATTGGCAACCGATCCCCACAAGATATCTGCGTCGGGCGGAAGACAATGTCTTCCTGGGCGATGAGTGTCCTTTGTAAGTGTCGAAAGAATCTACATATTTATAAATATAAATTTTTCCTATTTTTAAAATTTTTTAAATAATGAATATGAAACTGATTTAATTTTAAAGTTTTGTCTTTTGGGGGAGATTAGTTTAGAAGACTAATTAGGTAATTGGGTATGATTTGATTAACGTATACACTCATTTCACACGATTACTACTAACTCCAGTAAAAAGGAACTTAATTACACGAACTAAATGTCTATTACAATGATTATTCCCCTACTAAATGCAGTAATTGCATTCATTAAAAGACACAATCGTAGATGTTACATAAGTAAGATAAAACATAAGTCCTCAGATATTTCTTTGCAATGCACAAAACCAAGGAACTGATCCTTGATACAAGCAAGAATTTGAGTACCTATTTTATTTGTAATATACCAACTGTTTACCATTAACAATTCCTCGTAACTGTTCATTTTATATTTGGTAGCTACATCACTTCGTCTACTTCCTATTTACATACATTACATATTTATTCCCTACGTTATTTTCTAATTCTCTTACTTCCCATTTAAATACGTTTCAAGGAAAATACATCCATCACCCCTAGAATCACTCTACACCATAATTGCGTAGAATAATTATACATTGATTCTGAATTTTATACACTAACATATATTCTCTTTATAGATACTTACAGGAGTATGAAAGAGTAACGAACACGCCCGAAGGAAAACGCCAACTCTCACGTTTCGATGGTCTCATGAAGCAGTTAACGATATGGACAGGAAAAAACGTCACCAATGCATTCGACATGTATTACCTTTACCATACACTGATGGCCGAATATTCGGATGGACTTATTTTACCAGACTGGGCGTACGAGGTCTTCCCCTATGGCGAATTATGGAATGGAACCGTATTGTGGTATGAAACCGCTAGCGCGACAACTTTGCAAAGAAGACTAAACGCAGGTATATTTTTCTTGATTTCCTTATTACCTTTGTTAACAACAATTAACAATTTTCAATATCATTTGCCTTTGCTATTAAAGAATAAGTATTGCTATTCAAAACACGAGAAATTCTCGTGGCAGTCAACGCGTGAACTTAACCCTTAGCACTCCAGGTTGTTTTGTAATCTATCAGCAACTGCAACTAATTTTTATAGTATCCGAATGCTATAACATTTATTAGATCTTTTATTTTCCTTCTCGGTGGAAAATTTAATTATTTTAGTGTAGTTTCATTAAGATTCATTAACATATTTAATACTATAACTGGTACAATATTGGAGCCTACAGAGTTCAAAGGGTTAATATAATTCACTATAGCATCATGTTAATGTTTTAGGACCGTACCTCCGCCTGGTCACAAAATCTATGCTGGCCCGCGTAGCTGGAACGTCAGAAAATATACGGAAGATATATCTATACAGCGGACACGAAACAAACGTGGCCGCCGTGTTGTTCGCTCTGGGACTTTACACGCCTCATGTTCCTGGATATTCCAGTGCTGTGATATTGGAGCTACACGAGATAGAGGACAAGTTCTTCGTCAAGGTATGCACAATAGAAATGTTTAACACTAAAACTATCAGAGGGGTCAAATGACCCATGCCAGATGTCTTTTTGCCAATGTTTATTTCAATCGATTCATCAGTGCTTGATTTTAATACTCAGGTTCTTCACTACTGGGGCATTCCACCGAAAGTCGAGGAACTTGCGATACCTAATTGCGATCTGATGTGTCCTCTGGATCAGTTCTTGAAATCAATTAAGGATGTAATACCTTCGAACGAGGAACTGAAATGTAACAAGAAGTCGACAGAACAATACGCAGATACCATATCGTTGGAGGAACTGGACGTTGAGAAATATGACTTGATAAGAATTTCAAAAACGCCTGACAAAAATTAAATTGAATAAGTTCCCTCGCGATGCTAAGATGATTTTCATCTTGTTAAACCAAAGAGAAAATATTTATATAAATGCTAAATGTAATATTTTTACATTATTATTATTATTATTATTATTATTATGATTATTATTATTGTAAGCAAGCTCATAATTTAAATCAGTTTTTGATGCCACCTCGCGACAAGTGAATTTGTTAGTTTCCCTATTTATTTATAAACTTTATGTATGACCGACGTACATAAATGTGTATGAAAATTAGTATATCTTTTTAATGTATAATGTTCATAGTTTTTCATACTGATGTCAGCGTTTGACTTTTGCCATTCTCTTAAAGATGTGAGAACAGAGATTTATGCCTTGTATCTTATATGTATTTATAGCAGTATTTATACAAACACTAATACAAACTTATGTCAACTACACTATGTATGTTCTCTTATTTCACCCGTTTGATTTCTCCTAAACAGATCCTGTGCTAATATTGACAATAGCTGCTTGCTATCTAATCAAAGTTGTAGTTTAGGTCGTTTTCAAAATTCGACTTACAAATTTCTACGATATGATCGGAGACCGGAGTGAAAAAAAGCATGCGACTCACCGATCGTTGTTCGCAATCGGTACGTAGCTTAAGTTGAGCTGAGGGCCACTGGTTAGCACTGGTCAGTATTGGTCAGCATGGATCTACATTGATCCCAACTGATCAGTGCTGGTTAACATGGATCTACGTTGATCTGAACTTATCAGTACTGGTCAGCATGGATGTACATTGATCTCAACTGATCAGTGCTGATTAGCATGGATCTACATTGATCTCAACTGATCAGTGCTGGTCAGCATGGATCTACATTGATCTCAACTGATCAGTGCTGGTCAGCATGGATCTACATTGATCTCAACTGATCAGTGCTGGTCAGCATGGATCTACATTGATCTCAACTGATCAGTGCTGATTAGCATGGATCTACATTGATCTCAACTGATCAGTACTGGTAAACATGGATCTACATTGATCTCAACTGATCAGTAGCAGTCAGCATGGACTCGCATTGATCTGAACTGGTCAGTACTGGTCAGCATGGATCTACATTGATCTCACCTGGTTATTACTGGTCTGCATGGTCAGGACTGATCAGTACTGATCAGCATGGTCAGCATGATCAGTAGTGGTCAGTACGGATCAGTAGTGGTCGCCATGGTCAATAATGGTTATTACTGGTCAGTAATGGTCACTACTGGTCAGCATCGTCAGTAGTGACCAGGGATGAAGATCGTAGCATGCCACTGGTGGCCAAAAAGGTCTATGAATGACCAGGAAGGTCCAAACGATTTCATAACCACCATGGAGGACTCTAATCTCCAGTTCAAGAGTTCGCGACGAACTGAGCTCTGTACTGTCAAGGCTCCTCATTTATAGATAATGGTCGTCGATGTTATTCACAATATCCTTGACCTCGCCATCAAAAACGCCTTGCTTAACCGTTAGCACTCGATGATATTGTAGGAACCTTATTTTCTCGACGATAAGGTACCTCCATCTCCTGTAAAATGCGGAAACTTTGCTATCAGACCATTTCGCCATGGATGGCGCCACAGTCAATCCACATGAACTCCCACATCGGTAACAATTGTCCACCAGTTTGAGCGTTTCGCCACGGATGTCGCTGCCAGTGAAAAGCGCAAATTTTCAAAAATAATTTTCACCGCTATACGAATTATATGATACGCACAGAACAAGATCGAACGAGATGAAGCGATACAATTGAATTGCCTTCATAAATCTGCAGATAAAATAACTTCCGAGCGCATTAAGCACGTTTAGAGCGTCGACTCTTAGTAAACAAGAGAGGTTTGTCGACACAGCCTGAATGTGTAAAATGATGAAGGTCAATAGATCTAGGTACTTGCCGTTCGAATACAAAGTCGAACAATTCAACCCAGAAATAATTAACATTCGCGCCGGCGTGTCATTTAAATCAGATACAATAGATATACGGGATACGTACCCACTTACGTGTAATGTCCTCGGAATGAGGCGAACGTAACGAACTACGAAATTGTAAACACTGGTCGAAACTGCTCGATACTTTTATTCATTATATCTCCATTATTATGATTCATGGAATCACAAGGCCGCTAATTGCGTAGACACTGATTTGGCGTTGCAGTGTTCATTTTATCAAATATTTTGTGTTAACACTATTTCCACCGAACGTGTCAAATGGCGCCTGAAATTTCATCTCAAAATCATTTTCCGAGTTCAGTCGTATATTCTGAATTGACTTTTCGACTTTTCCAGTAAGGATTATAAAGTTAAACGATGATTATTTGAAAATATTTCTACATTATGAATATTTTTCCATTTTGAATATTTTGCTGTATGACGTCGGCAATCAACGTGTCAACTACAGGAAACGTCCAAAACTCAATTGAGGACAGATTATTCAACCGAGAAAATAATTTCATGTTACAGCTTCAGAAGATGTCCTTTGACACTTTCGGTAGAAATAGCGTTAATAATTAAGTATAAATAATTTTCGTGTTAGCTTCAATCATACATATTAGATGAGAGTACGTTCCACCGGAGTCGTAAGAAAGCAGTCTGTCGCATTGAAAACATAATATGAGACAAAGCATTCAGGCATCAGGTGAAACCTGTTCCCCTACGTTAGCGTTAATTGAATAAACAATGCCTGTAAACACGTGCGCAGATATGTCTTTCGAAAGGCATTCACACGTTGAACTTTCTACCGACAATGAGACGTATAATTCGCAAACGGTATGTGTCAATCATAATAAAGTCATCGTGAATTGGTAATAATTACACGAATGTGGTTTACCGGAATTCCTGATGCTTCGATTCAGATGCAGTCGAATGTTAGAGGTTCGACGAAAGAAAGTTTCACTTGGAGACATATTACATTGCATTTTGGTCTCTATAATTCTACGACTTGCATATATTTCTGTTATGAATTTATTAAATTCATTAACCTTTTATTAACCCTTATTATGCAAGTATTAACCGGTTGACTGCGGCGCACCACACTATACCAAAACGCTATCAATATTGTATTGAGACGCGATATGATACTTAAAAACTGACAGTGAATTATATGATCAAAAATAAAGGAGTCCTTGGAATAATGATTTAATCAAATAGCCTACTGAAATATTTCGAGTAAAAATCAGATGAATGTAAATACCTATATTTTTTGTATTGTATTAAAGAAATAACTTTAGTCCATCGAAACCAGCAACAGTTCAATACCGAAAGTTTCGATTTATATCAATATAATTTTTATATAAAGGATGATTCACGTAATTGCAAGTCATTCCTTCTAATTGAAGTTAGATAAAAAGTATTAGGTTAATGTGGTCAAAAAATGATCATTCCACAAGATATCTCGACCAATTCCCAAGTTTGAAATATTAAATAAGTATCGACATCTTTGAATTGGATTAATTACGAAAAAAATTACAATATTGATGTTTCCTGGCAAGATATTGAGCAATACAGGTATATAATGGCGGGCGCCGTGATAATTGACGATGACGGAGGATTAATGGCTCGTTTCAATAATCACGAATCGCAAATATTTGATTTGTTTCTCAAAAAACGTGTCGGTGAGACTCTCACGTCTGTGCCGACGACCAACAAACGAGGAGGAAATGTTCGCGATGCTCGGATTTTCTCAGTGCGTTACGAAGAACGCGAACGAAACAAAATACGACTAAGAGGATTATAAATTTTCTTCTCCTTTTAACTCCTGTATCTACAAATTCTCTTCTTTTTTCAACTCTTATAAGTTTATTGCATTTCTCAATGCAATTCTCAATTTTTCAAGTCACCGTTCGCAACGTTTACACCAAAACGTTCATCGGACTGATGCGAACTCGCATGGAAATGAAAAACAGCGGACGATCGGCATCCTCGGGGGTTTCGGAAAGAAACATGGCCGACGCAACGCGAAACAAATTGAACATCGATGTGAACGACGACGGCGTGGTTCACTCGTGAATATATTTCAAGGCAAGTCTTTGGTACGACGACACCTGAATCTCCTTCGAGGACGTAATAACGTGCGTGTATCACGGTATACGTGAATCGAATGTACATTCGAGCATCGTAGTCCTCGAAAGGCAGGATTAGGAACGTCTGAACGTATTTCCCTTCGCGTTACCCGACGACTTCCGTATTCGCGCACGAAAGGTGACTTCCTAGGTAACAATGAGCCCCGAGGAGCCGGACTTCTCGAATGCGAGAACTTTGCAGTTCCACAACCTCGAGCTGCAAGATAACGTGCTGCAAGACGAAAGCGTACGATCAACACGAGGGAACATCTTCGACAATGTGTATAAAGCGACGACGATCAATGGGTAGGTCCTCTACATAGGCCCATTCATTTATGAACACGTTGATTGCCACTGGAAGCTTCAGCGTTTCGCTTATTCTTTCGTAACAAAGTTAATAACGGAGAATTATTAATTATCTGCTTCACAATTCTTTCTTTACATTATCTAGTTAATATACACCATTGAACATTTTTGTTCGCGTTGTCTTGCGAATTATAATTCATCTATGAACACGATTGCCACTGGAAGCTTCAGCGTTTTACTTATTCTTTCGTAGCAAAATTAATGAGAGAGAATTATTAATTATTCTGATTATAATTCTTTCGTTACATTATTACCTAGTTAATATACACTATTGAACATGTTTATTCGTATTCTCTTGTAAATTTTAATTTATCTATGAAAACGTTGATTGCCATTAGAAGCTTCAGCGTTTCATTTATTCTTTCGTAGCAAAGTTAATAAGGGAGAATTATTATTTTTAATATCAAGTTTAGTAACAGCAACGGACGAATATTATTGAAATGTGTAAATCAACAAGAGCAAGTACACGAGCATTTTGCATGGCACATACAAGTAATTAATGCATAGACACGAGCCGCTTTTAAATTACTGTATTTGCGTGTTAGTTACGGAAGTGAAACACGTTACGGTGAAGTCATTAGTATACGTTTCGTCGGCAATATTTTCACTAATATCGATATTAATAAATAACAATATTTATCGATAAATAATATATCAATAATCACTTTATTTAAATCACTAATCGACGTGTCACTGTACTTATCAAACACCTCAGAGTACGTTTCGAAAGTGCCATTTAAAGCGAACTTCGTTTGAGCTCGTCAAAATCACAATTTCGTTGTAACGAGTTCCCAAGGCTCCTCTGAAATCCAATTTCCACGTGGAACGTTTAGAAAAGCCGATGAATTTTTGATTCCCTTTTGCGTACGGTTCTCCGGACAGGTGAGAGGTAAAAAAACGAAGATGATTCCCCTCGGAAGGGTTATCGGATCAATTTATCTCATTAACATTCCCGCCGGCATTTCTATATAACGGGACACCCGTTTTA